TTTATGTCATTCTTTACTTATAAGTAATTTTTACTTATAAGTGAATTTTTTACTTTTAACCATATGTTTAAGTTACAAAAGAACTTTTTTTTTTTTTTTACTCGTAGTAGATATTTCCTTGTAAGTATAGTTGTGCATGAATTTTTACTTACTAAAGAAATTTTTTAACATATAGATTACTTTTTTTACATGTAGGTGATTTTTTATTTTTTATTTTTTTATTTTTTACTTATGTTTTGGAGCTTAATTGTGAAACAAAAGATGGAATTGCATGACTCAAGGAAAATGAGAAGACTTGAGTGGAAGACTTGGAAGCTCAATTAGACAATTTCCCAAGTTATGGTGCCAAATTTAACACTTGAAAGTTCGGGGACCAACATGGATGAAATAAAAAGTTTATAGATCAATTTAGATAATTTGGAAAGTTGAGGGACCAAATTGAAGACATTTATGAATTGTGATGTAAATACCTAGCGTCGAATCTATAACAGGTGGGAAAATTTCGTAGGTTCTCAAGTTTTTGGAATTAGTCTTGACGCCAAGGTGCCACCCGTGCTACCCACTTTCCTTGTTCTACTTGAAAACTTAGTTCTTAGGGTTTTGCTACATTCCAAGATCATTTTTCCAAATTTTGAAGACTTGTATAAATATGATAACCCTGATATAGTATTATCTACCACCACATAAATCATATTAGATCGTCTTGAAGCTATTTCAAAAGAAGAATACATCTACATTCCAGGCAAATTAGAGAAGATGAAGCAATTCAAGATCATTTACGAGATTCTAGATTGGAGGGATGTATTCATCTTTTTTATCTCTCTATGTGTAAAGACTTTATATTTTTGTTTTTAATTCGGCTAAAAACAATTATTAACATAATATTAATTTGGAATTGCTCCTTTTTTGTTAAATTCTTGTTACTTTGATTGATTGGTTATTATTACTTATTCCATTTTGATGATTGATCACCACTAGAACGCGTTTGTGATTTATATTATGTCCTAGAGGTTCAGTATAAATTAGCCGATAGTAATAAATAACATAGGGTCCAATAATTGATAGAGATATCTGTATGCTCTATGGAATCATATATAATTATCTTTGTGAATTAGTGGATGCTTGCATGTTCGTAATTTAATTATAAATAATTAGGTTTACATATGAGCATAGAATTGATGTCATTGAGAGAGGCTTTTGGTTAAAATTGGATCATTGCTCTACGTCTCCGATTCGAACGTACCCTTCACGCACCTCTCCAGACGCGTCTCCTTCTAAAAGCCTCAGCTGTAGCCATCATTGCATATTTAATACAGTAGTCGTACGTGCCTCGAAAGTGGAAACGGCTCGACGGCCTTATCTTGATAACATGCACAAAATATCAAATCATTAGCACACCCATTGAAGGCAATCATATCATAACTAGACTCGACTTCTTCTGCTTCTTCACAGTTCAGCCACCACATAACAAGCCTTGGCAATTCAGCCACCACATAACAAGCCTTAGCATGTTCGATCCACTCACTACCTCGTCTTTGTCTTCTTCTTCGTAGCTCAACCACCACACAACAAGCCTTGGCGTGTTCGATCTACTCACTGCCTCGACTTCGTCTGCTTTTTCACAGTTCAGCCACCTCTTCCCAAGCCTCGGCGTGTTCGATCCACATCACCGCCTCCACTTCTTTTTCTACTTCTTCGCAATTCAGCCACCACATAGACAAGCCTCAACGTATTCGATCCACTCACTGCCTCGACTTCGTCTACTTCTTCACAGTTTAGCCACCTCTTCGCAAGCCTCGGCGTGTTCGATCCACATCACCGCCTTGGTTTCTTCTTCTGTTTCTTCGCAGTTCAGCCACATGCTCACAAGTCTCGACGTGCTTGATCAACCGACCACCTCAGCAGAACCACAACAGTCAACTTCACGTGTTAATCCGAACACCAATACTTTCAACTCCAACCATGATATAAATATCTATACTTAGACTTGGGGGACTATTATTTAGGGTACAAAAAATTCTTTCAATTTTTACCGCACTTGCTTCACCACGATAAAAGTTCATACATTACATAAATGACCATACTTGGATTTGGGGGACTATTATTACGTGTTGGTACACTTTGCTGACCCACTGGGGGCCATGGCCCTCTTATGCCGAACCATGTGACATCCTATTTGGGACCCAATGATGCCGAAGTGAGTATAACGAGGTGGTCTTCCCCCGCCGGGACCTTTTACTCCGAGGTCCAATCTTTTCCGAGGTCCGGAGGCCCTAAGTAGCACTCCTCCCCAGAGATTCGGCCTTACACAAGAATCTTTCCTAATTAATTGATGGGGCACCCATCATAGAGTGCAAGTATCTTGTATTGTGCTGTCGATTAATAAATGGGTAGCAGGCCAGGAAGTCAAGTGTGATACCTATAATTTGACATGAAGGCTTACGAGATGAGGCCACATGTACTCCCAACCGAGGGCCACGATCTAAATTGTAATACTATAAATACTCCCTCATACATCTCTTACAAGGGTAATGCAAGATTCAACACATGAACAAAGACAACATTCTTTATATTTTACTCTCTTGCAACATACACGAATTCATATAGGCATTTTACAAACATCGATTGGTAATTATTGTATAATCATTATACAAACATCTCCCCGGATTCCAAACATTCTTGTCTCGCGCTTTTGAGCCACTCCCACGCCCCTTTTACTACTAGTTCTAGACCATCCATGTGTCTTAGCATGTTGGACCAAGCTTACATGTGCGCAGATGGTTCTGGTATCTATTGGTAACATATTCTAGGGTCAACAATTGATTTTCAATCTCAGCAAGAGTTAACAATTGATCGGTAATTAGGAAGTGAATTAGGATCACAACGGTAGATTCTTGATCCTTGATCGTTACTTGATTAATTTTTACTCTATGATCTTCTTAAGTGCTCAAGAAAAGTAGTTAATTTGTTAATTAGGAAAAACCAAATTAAAAACCCAAAATATGAATTGTTTGTTTGCTTTTTTTTTTAAATAGTTTTAATTAAAGTATAGTCGATAATCAATATCTGTGGGATTACACTTGACATCATTATATTACTTGTGTATGATCCATCCTCTTGCTGAATAAATATCGCAACATCAAATGTTACCTCTTATTGAAAAGATATTAGTTTTGAATTTTGTTATTGGTCTACTTAGGATTTAATGGACTCTATCATGATGGTAGGGGTCCATTTTCTAAAATGGCACATTTTGTTCCTTGCAACAAAATAACATATCAATCTCTTAAATAGGGTAGTTGGAAGAATTATTTTCTTTCGGGATAAGTCGACCACATCAGTTACATGTATTATCAAAAATGAAAAAAAAAAAAAAGTAAAACAAGAGAAAGAAAGAAAATAGTAAAATAAGTGAACGCATATTAAATTAGTTGGAAGATGTGGTGCTCAGATAGTATTGATGTTGGAGCCTATATCCAAGTTGATAAAGAATCCAAAGAAGACAATATACTGATTCCATATTTATTAAAATATGAACATAATACGTGTAATTAAAGTTGGCTATACTTCTACCATGTAGTTTCCAAGCAAGGATCTAATGTAGTTTCCAAGGAGAGATCTACAGTTTATTTTATAAAACTAATTTAATGTGTTACTTCTGAATTATTGTTTTCTCCTTTAAACAATCTGACACAAACTTACACTTACGGGTTATCGAAATATACTTGAACAAAGTGACAAGATGAAATCAGAATATACGGATCAACTCATGATATTTTGAATGGAAACTATACAAAAGGTCCTCACATTCAATGATTAAAAACATTACGGGTAACGTGTGCGACAAATAAAAGGTTTGGGAGAAGTTTGCTAGTATTTCATAGGTTTAGGACTTTTGTTGCAATTATCCCTTTTTTTAAAGGTAATCTTCAATTATATGGTCCTCAATTATTAAGTACGACCCATTTATATTGTGCATTATTTTCTGAATATTGTACATAATTAAGATAAGCATAAATTTTTTTCTACCACATATTTATATGAATTGAGTATCACATGTTTAGAGTCTTCACCCACCTTCAATGCATTGTCCCTTCTTGCAACACTACCTTCTTTTTCTTTTTCTTTTTCTTTTTTTTACTATTCCTTAGTTTTTTTTTTTTTCCTTTTTCTTTATAGTTTTAAGTAATTATTTATAACAATGATAAGTTTCAGAGTATCAAATATAAAAAATTAAAAAGGTATGCAGTTGTTATAGTTTTAAATAATTAATATCCAAAAAATTGGGAGTGATTTTTCACCCCCAAAAAATTGATTTTTTTTATCATTATTTCACTATTCCAACTGTAATTTTTGACTTCTTCTCTCAAAGATAGCCTCACTTTTCTCTTTAACAGTCAAAAAATAAATTCTCACAATCACTACCGAACAGACTCTATAATTAATGATAAGATGCTAGAATTTTATAGAAAGAAGGGGAAGGATAAAATTCTAGGACTAGGAAAAAATATGTGATTACCATACACCACAAATGCCAGCTTAATCTCAATATTCTACCATCCAACCACGTACAAATATATTTGTATACGAAATTAATTAAATTGAAATATTTTTCGCGAAATCATTCTTAGCACATACATTAAGACTCCTATTACTAAGAGTTTTAAGTCGAGTCGGGTCATGCAAAGCTGGCATGACTTAGTTTTGGACCGGTGGCATTGGTTATTCCTTGCCGAGCATGTCTCATAAGATTTGCGTAAAATGTCCTATATTTATGTGCTTGTTTGGTAGGAATTTTGAGAATTATTTTTTGACCGTTAGAGAAAAAATTGGTTCTACCTATGAGAAAAGAATTAAAAAATGACAACTAGAATAATGAAATAACGGTCAAAAAAATAATTTTAATTGGCTTAAAATCGCAACCAAACAAGCACTATGTACATAGATGAGAATCGAAGGATCGTGATTTAGCACATTGAGGCATGGGCAGTGAAAATAATTAGATAGAATCGAAAAACAACATTTATTATTTTCCAATACATTCAATCTAAATAGATTAACACATAAAAAAGGAGAATATGCCAAACATGTTTTGACTTGCACAATGTAGTCTCCATGACGAGATCTACAATTTATTTCTGAAGACATACAGTCTCTAAACAGATTATTTATTTTAAATATATATCCATTCAGAATCAATCAACTGGCTCCTTTATGTAAGCCTTTTTGCCTGATACCACGACTGTCATAGTCTTGTCGCCAACTTTTACATCCACTGTGGTCACTGCAACAAATCAAATATAGCATCCTGTTATATTCATAGTTTTTAAATATTTTTTAATCACCTTTTGTTGGGTTCAAGTAAAAATTTAATCCACTATAGCTTTAACCACTACATTAAAAAAAAAAAAATTAATAATAATAATAATAATTTCTAATGTTATTATTGAGAGGTCATACGTTCGCAATTCTTTTCATTGGTGCAAAAACAATAGGTGGTATTTGGTAGCACTCCACAGCATCCTTGATTGTAAGTCAGAAGATAGCAAGCTCTTTGACAAACGTCTATCACACACGGAGTCTGAGCATCCGCCATTGGAGGACCTCCCATCTCTGCTTGATTATAATACATGAAAACAACATAAGATTAAACCCAAACAAAATTAAGAATTTTTTTAATACTGTACAATCTATCCCAAACATATGCATAAATGACAAATTTTGCTTCAGACACCAAAAAAAATTGAAGTAGTTGAGTAGGGAGTTGAGTAAAGTTCAAACCAGTGGACATGGAAACCAACAGCAAGAGGGACATCACTGCAAGAAACCTCATGGAGAACTCCATTTTCATGAGAGATATAATTACAGAGAGACAGAGAGAGATTAAGGGAAAATGGTGTGAATGGAAGAGTCCCTCCTGGATCACTTTATTTAAGGTTCACGAGTGTCTTGATGAGATTAAAAAATAAATAAAAAGTAAAAATAAAAACATTTTTATGAACACGTTTTTCAGATTGATGCAATTATTTTGAACGGTCCTAAGGGCTACTAAGAAGCTACTTTTTAACGTGTTTAAATAATTTTTTGTTGTAATTTATGTGGTTGTAAAAATTTTTAGAGGAAGTTGGTTTAAGTTAACTTTTTCATAAAACTGTTTTATAAGAAACATGAGTAATTTCAAGCAATCTCTAACTTAAATTTCATTAATTCTGTACTTTGTTTCCTCAATTGAATATGTTTCAAGAAATATGCTAAAACTCTCAGGATTGGCTCCAGGGGCCGAGGTGGCACGACCTCGACCCTTGATTTGAATTTGGTGAGCCCCATGTGATGCAAGTGTTATATATTTATGGTATAAATATAAAATGTGAAAGAAATAATCAAATTAGATAAAGTGCCAAAGTGATGGGAAATGTGACATTTGTGTGGGACGTCAGGGGTTCGAGTCACTCCCCACGCAGATATTAAAATGTCTTGATTGGGGCCTTGGGCTCTTGGGCTTTCTTGACTAAAATAAATATTTTTTTCTTTATTATTTAATGGGTAAAACTAGCCAGTATTTTATGACTGTTTGCTTTTGCAACAACCCACTAACAGTCATTAAGACACCCACTACTCAGTCATTAAAATTCTGCATTAACATGATGAAAACTGTTACTACCATCTTGCCTATATAAACCCATATCTCGTTTTGGAAAAACACACACAAAAAAAAACAATAGAAAAATCATCTTGCATCAACCCTCATTTTCATATTCTGAATTTCTTATATTCGGGTTTTACATTTATTCTGGAGTACAATTGAAAGTTCTAGAAAAATCATTCGTGATTGCTGCACAAGTGGTTTAAAATCGTTGTATCCTAGGAGTGATTGTCCACGGAGGTCGCAGCAATTATTGACGGGCAATTTCACTTTAGGACATCGTGCTGTCACGAGACTCGATCGGACGATAAGTTTTATATTTCTGCATTATATTGTTCATATCACTACTGCAACTAATTATTTTTTCCAACAGCAAGATCAAAAGCCGAGGTGTTGCTCTGAAGCGGCGCTGATGTTTCAAGCGGTCTAATTTTTGCGTGAACAGATCAACTTAATAGTTAAAGGTGGATCAGATCATTACGCCACCTCGACCCCTGATTTGAATTCGGCAGGCCCCATGTGATGCAAGATCGAGGGCCCAGGTGTTGCTCTATAGTGGCGCTAATGTTTCAAACGATCTAGTATTTGCGTGAACAAATCAACTTTGTACTTAAAGGTGGATTAGATAATTAGAGAAATCATTGGATTCTCATTGCAAAAAGATAAGATTTGATTTTCTAATCTCATAATTGTAAAGTATGTGACAGAACTTGACATTGTGGATTGTAATAAATTTTGAATTCAAATAGGGAAAGTAGCTGAGGTGAAATTGGCCCTACATTTTTTAGTTCTATTTCAAGAGAGGGGAGGAGAAGAAATAGCCAAATAGAGAGGGGAGGGTCACTTAGTTTGTCTGTTATCGCCTTTATTCTGTTGTTGCCTTTCACCACAGGCCATTTACCTTTATAATAAATCACTATTATATGCCATTACGTCTATGATATTGATTTCAGATTAATTAGTTTTTAACAATATATTCCATTCCATTAAATTATTAGGGAAGCCAAACTTCGAATTAGAGAATTATGATCTCCATTTATTCTTTTTTGTTGACTATTAGTTCTACTGTACAAAATTGATTACAATTGACAATTATGCCCCCATTTGGTAGCAATTTTTCACTTTAAAAAATCAATTTTTTTTATCGTTATTTCATTATTTCAACCGTCGTTTTTTACTTTTTCACTCACGGGTGAAACTCACTTTTCTTTCTAACCGTCAAAAAAATAATTTTCATAATTACTACCAAACAGATCCTATATATATTTTGAAAATTCAAACTATTAAAAGGATTTGTGCATTACAAATAAAAATGAGCTAGAAAATAAGAAGAATTTTTTTAGGAAAAAAAAAAAGAAATAGAATATAGCAAGAAATTATTTTCTAGTTTTGGTGTAAGTGGAGGTATGGGCCAAGTTGGCATCATATTATAATGTCAATAGGTGGACAAATGCAATTTCTCTCTCTTATTAAACACTTTCGATGGTCATGGAAGCTACGTAACTCAGCCTCCATTAATTTATATATTTCTCTCTCCTATTTTTAACTATACAATCTTCCATAAAATAATATTATACGTCGAAAACTTTTCATTTTTTTCAACCACTCATTTTTAAAAAAATAATATTCTACCTATTTTCATTACCACAAAATGAAGGCCAAACAGGGACTTATTTAAACTTTGACTTTATACACAATAAATTTAGGAACCTATTAAAATTACGATGTTTGATAGTATACCATATCAGAAAAATATTCATGTATTAAAAATTATGACAATATTTTTATTTATAAATACTTTTTAATCATGAATAATTTTTTTATTTAATTAATTTTTGAATTTATGTCATTCTTTACGTATAAGTAATTTTTACTCTGTAACCATATATTTAATTAACAAGGGTACTCGTAGTAGATTTTCCCTTTTTTAAGTATGCTTGTGCGTAAATTTTTACTTACTAAAGAAATTTATTTAACATATAAGTTAATTTTTTTTTACATGTAGGTGAATTTTTTTTATTTTTTATTTTTTACTTACGTTTCGGAGTTTAATTGTGAAACAAAAGATGGAATTCCATGACTCAAGGAAAAGAGAGGACTTGATTGGACAATTTCGCGAGTTATGGTGCCAAAATTAACACTTGAAAGTTTGGGGACAAAAATGGATGAAATAAAAAATTTAGAGACCAATTTAGATGATTTGGAAAGTTGAAGGACCAAATTGAAGACATTGAGGAATTGTGAAGTAGATACCTAGCGCCAAGTCTATAAGAGGCGGGATAATTTCGTAGGGTCTCCTCAAGTTTTTGGAATTAGTCTTGACGCCAAGGTTCCACCCGTGCTACCCACTTTCCTTGTTCTAATTGGAAACTTAATTCCTAGGGTTGTGCTATATTTCAATAACATTTTTTGGAATTTTGAAGATTTGAATAAATATGATAACACTGATATAGAATATCTACAACCACATAAACATATTAGATCGTCTTGAAGCTATTGCAAAAGAAAAATTCATCCATATTCCAGACAAATTAGAAAAGATAAAGCAATTCAAGATCGTTTATGGGATTCTAGATTGGAGGGATGTATTCATCTTTTTTATCTCTCTATTTGGTTTATGTACCGACTTTATATTTTTGTTTTTAGCCATGTTCCGCTAAAACAATTATTAACATAATATTAATTTGGAATTGCTCCTATTTTGTTAAATTCTTGTTATTTCAATTGATTGTTTATTGATAATCATTAGAACTTGTTTGCGATTTATATTAAGTCCTAGAGGTTCAATATAAATTTTCCAATAGTAATAAATAACATAGGGTCCGATAATTAATAGAGATATCAGTATGCTCTATAGAATCATATATAATTATCTCTGTGAATTAGTGCATGCTTGCATGTTCGTAATTTAATTAAGGTTAATTAGGCTTACATATAAGCATAGAATTGATGACATTGAGAGAGTCTTTTGGTTAAAATTGGATCATTGATTTCCAATCTCAGCAAGAATTAACAGTTGATCGGTAACTAAGAAGTGAATTAGGATCACAACAGCAGATTCCCGATCCTTGATCTTTACTTGATTAAATTTTACTCTATGATCTTCTCAAGTGCTAAAAAATGTAGTTTATTTGTTAATTAGGAAAAACCAAATTAAAAACCCAAAATATTAATTTTTTTAAAATAATTTTAATTAAAGTAGATTCGATAATCAATATCTGTGGGATTACACTTGACATTATTATATTACTTGTGCATAATCCGTCCTCTTGCTGAATAAATATGGCAACATCTAATGTTACCTCTTATTGAATTGGTCCCCTACCATCATGATAGAGTCCATAAAATCCCGAATAGACCAATAACAAAATTCAATTTCCAAAATGGCACATTTTGTTCATTGCAACAAAATGACATATATAGATCTTAAATGAGGTAGTTGGAAGAATTATTTTCTTTTGGGATAAGTCGACCACGTCAGTGACGTGTATTACTAAAAACAAAAGAAAAATAGTAAAACAAGGGAAAGAAAGAAAATATTAAAATGAGTGAATACATATTAAATTAGTTGGGAGATGTGATACTCAGATAGTATTGATATTAGAGCATATATCAATTTGATAAAGATAATATACTGATTTTCCAAGCAAAGATCTAATGTAGTCTCCAAGCAGAGATCTACAGTTTATTTTATAAAACCAATTTAATATGTTATTTCTGGATTATTGTTTTCTCCTTCGAACAATCTGACAAAAACTTACGCTTACAGGTTATCAAAATATATACTTGAACAAAGTGACAAGATGAAATCAGAATGTAATGATCAACTCATGATATTTTGGATGAAAATAGTCCAAAAGGGTCTCACATGCAATAATTGAAAAGATTAGGGATGACGACTACGACAAATAAACGGTTTGAGAAAAGTCTGCTAGTGTTTCATAGGTTTAGGGCTTTTGCTACAATTATCCCTTTTGTTAAAGGAAATATTCAATTGTATGGTCCTCAATATTAAGTACGAACTATTTATATTGTCCATTATTTTCTGAATATCATACATAATTAAGAGAAGCATAAATTTTTTTCTGCCACATATTTGTATGAATGAGGATCACAGATTTAGAGTCTTGAGCTACCTGCATTGCATTGTACCTTCTTGCAACACTACCTTTTTTCTTGTTCTTATTTTTTCATTTTTTTTTTTTAACTATTCGTTTGTTTTTTTTTTTTTTTCATTCTTCTTTATAGTTTTAAGTAATTATTTATGTACAAATTTATTCGTGTACCTTATTA